GCAAGTATAGAACATATGATGTATTAAATAAGTTTTATTAGCACTTAAAAAACAAATTGAATGATTATAATAAAATATCTAGTTTTCTGTTTTTTTTTTTTTTTGCTCATCGATTATTTCATCAACCTGTAAGTTAATGTGCCTATATTTGTGGACATAGCAGCTAATCCATTTAGTCTTTTGAAAATTGAGTTAAAAATTAAAACCAAAGTATAACATACTATTACCTATATATTAAGCAAGCTTATAAAAATAAAAATAAGTAGAAAAAAGGTTTATGATATATCACCCACATCACCTTCTCCTCCATTGGAGTTACGCCATCACTGATGTAGTGATGTGTGCAGTAGTACAGCGGCGGTGGGAGTGTTATCAACAAAGATCGGCTAACAGTACGTACTTACAAAGCGCAATCTTATTCACCAAAAATTAAATAAATAGAAAAAAAAAATTAGATAACGATTTTCACACATAGGTACATTACATATTGCCTATATATATGTAGGTTCTTAAGTATATTAAATAGGCTACAAAGTACAAACAACACTCATATAATGAGATGATTAAACCCTTATGTAACAGATATAATAGGGGATTATCAATGCGACTTCTGCAGAAAGGGTAAATCGACCATAGAGGCATAGACCATATATACACTGCACATTTCGACAAGTAGCATAAAAACATTATGAATATAATAAAGATCTGCACTTGGTATTTATAGATTTTAAACGAGCATACGATTCAATTATAGCAGGAAAGAACTATGTAAAACAATGAAAAGTTTTGAAATAATCCAAAAATACGTAGTCCTAGTCAAAATGTGTAACAGTAACACAAATATTAAGGTACGATTCTGGCAAGAAACATCAGCACAATTAAAGTACAGTCTGGTCTCCGCCAGGGCGATGCATTATCAGTTATCACTTTATCATCAATGCTATTCAACATAGCCCTGGAGAGAGTGGTAAGATATAATATGTCAGAAGATCGGAAAATGAACCTTGGCGAACTGGATGTACTATACTGACATAAATGCTGATGACATGGTCATAATGGAGTGCACGAGTGATGATTATGTTATACAAACCACTGTAGAAAATTGCTAAAGTCGAGCAAGAGGATGGGACTAGAGGTGAACCAACAGAAAACCAAATATATGTCGCGAACAGAAGATGATAACTCAGATCTAAAGGTAGATGGTGATGGTCTTACTTTTAGAAAAGTTCATCAATTCATGTACTGAGCTGGCCCAGAACGACCGATGGACGGACTCGGTCGTGAAGGATCTAAGAATGATTCAAGAAAGAGCTCAGATTAATATGGCATACAATATAGAGAGGAATGGAATATGTTTGTGATGGCGGCGTTGGACCTCAAAGGTCCTTTAAGTTGTTTATGATGATGATGAAGATTATATATATATTTATATAGAGATAGAGCAAGGACATTATTCGTATACTCGTCACACGTCGTCGTACAGGTTTGAGTGTGCCTTTGAGTCGAATAATTATTGTTCAAACACACTATAATATAATATATACGCCATGTACGCAGACGTGCTGTTTTTACGTATACATATACATAATATATAGGTAGCCGAATATAATAATAATAATAATATGTACACACGCGTGTAGGCACAATTGCAGTTTCATTACGCGCGCACTCGATAAACCGATCAATAGTGAATCGATAATTATTACAGCTTGCGTATAGGTGCGACTGCAATACTAATCACTGCCGGGGGAGTTCGTAATAATAATAATGATAATAGTAATAATGGTATAATATATGATAAATATTTTACTCGTGCAGCGCGCGGCACCGAGATAAGTGGTCGTCAAATGATGTCTGTGATCGCTGGTTGGTCGGTCGCTACTGCAGCAGGTCGGCTACTCGTTTAACTCGCGTTGATGAACAGTAATTTATTCCGTCATATATATATAAATATATAGGTATATATTATATCCGTTCGTAATTTTCCTCTGGAGGTGTTATTCGGTCGTCTGGCGCGCGAGACTGTTACACTGCAAATTCAATAATTATTGTAATATTATATATATTGCAGCTGCAGGTACTTATCTCACAATGATATAAATGAACAGTAAACGTATGTAAGCAGGTACCTCCTAAACAGCTGCAGTTTCCGAGTGAGACTCGCGAGTGTTTTTTTTTTTTTTTACATTTTCGTCAGATTATTATATTATACAGGCGATATACCTAAGTATTACAAAAAATAGTCGATTTTTTTCCGGTCATTACTTTATAATTTTATTTTTATTTAAAAAAAAAAAATTATACCTTCACACGTAAAATGTCTGCGAATAATCAAACGGATCAAAAAAAAGGAGATGACCAAAAACGTGCCATCCAACTTAACCAGATACCAACAGCACTACCAGGTACTATATATACATACATTTATAACGTAATTTGTCGTCATCATAATTTACATCTCACTTGGTTGACGTGTTTTATGTGTATAATATTCAGCCGTAGGCTATAAAAATGATTTGACGAGAAAAATTCGCTCGAATGCTTTTTTTTTTAAAATATTTATTGTATGGCAGTATAATATATTATATATAATGTGTTTTTTTTTCGTTTTCATATCTTATTGAGGCGCTATGCAAACAATTAATATTTGAATCAAATGCAGTAGCTCCTATTATGGGTTATATAGTACAACGATACTGTTAATGATAATCGATATACCTATACATTGTACATTACACACACACACAGACACACACAGACACACACACACACACACATATATATATATACGTATGTATAACAGTTAAACGTTATATATTGGTAAAAAATCGTGTCGTTCATTTCCTGCACCAAAAAACCGCTTGATGTAGGTATATAGGTACATATTATAATATTATTTCATTTCATTTTCAACATTCATAATCGTTTCTAAATTCTAATAAAGTCTTGTCAAACCGCAGAAAATTTATTTTTTTTTTTTTTTTTTTTCATCAAAACAATATAAGGTATAATATATTTTTGTGTGATTTTCTTTCTTACTTCTTTAAATTGGGTAATAACTTATTTTATTAATTAATAATATTATAGTAAGAATCGTGTCTATTAAACACTATATATATAATATATTTATTCGACAATTCCTACAAACGAAATTTTTTGTCCGTTAACCGCAACGATGTATCCATATAGTATAGCTTTGCAATATTAGCTGTTACTAAATAACTGCATTAACTGAGGTTAGATTTTGGCTTGTATACAATCATTTCAGTTTCTTAAACATCAATATATTGCATTTAATTAATAGCGACATCTCCGGTATCTCTCTATAGTCTATTGTATAATGTATGATAATATAGTGATGCATGTAGATGACTAATTTTCATTTAATTCATGTGCGTATCTATTATCACTCGAATCTGATGTATAATTTTGATAGAAACCCATTAAAACGACCAACACGCACATTTATTTAATTTTTTTTGTTTATAATTTACGGTCGTCATTAAAAATGAGATCATTCATTCACTCGTCTATCACAATATTTTCGTTGACATAAGATTATACAGCTGTCAGTCGCATGTAGGATGTATTTCGTTAGAATTAATCCAAACAAGGCAAATACTAACGAAAATAATTTGACGGAATTATCATTTCCATCATCATCCATCCACGTAATAGGTACACATATCGCTGACAAAAAAAAAAAAAATGGCGACCCATACACACACAGTTATTTTATACTTACACGAATGCGTATATGCAAATTGGTGTTTTGCTCGTTTCGTAACGTATCATAATAATACGTTCGTCGACAGACAAGTGTTGTATTAATAAGAATACACATTGGAATGTACGTCACAATAACATAATATTATGTAGGACGTGTGTGTATAGATGCAACGGTCGTCCAAAAGTTTAAAAAACAAAAATCGTTCTAGTTTTCGTGTAACGAAAATATTTTTGTATAATAACGCGGCGTCAATAACATTGTAGTGATAATCGTCCTATACTAAAAAAGAAAACCAAAAAAAATTTAAAAAATTAAAAAAAAAAACCAAGGTATCCCTCTGTTTGCCGGACACTTGCGTTATTATAAATCTTTGAAATGTATGTGCATAAATAGGTAGGTACGGCAGCTGGTGTATAATAGGTACACACTGCAGTATTATACACGAGACGGTGCAGTATGTATTTTAAGTCTGTTGTTACGAATCAAAAGAATAATGAACTATTGAACTGATTACAATATAATCAATAGAAAATGAAAGATAATGAATATATTATTATAATGCAGTGATGGTTATTGTAGTAAGCGCTTTGACGCTGGTCGCATGTTCGCGGACTGTATAATATGTTTAGTGACAAAAGATTTAGAGAAAACGAACACATTTTTTATGCAATTGGATTGCATAATTAAACGCGTGCACTGGTGATCTACCCGAAATGTGATATGTCATATATACCTAATATTGTTCTGCAGAAATAACGAGAATCGACATTTTTATTAAGCATTTTACCGCGATTAACACGCCACACGCGTTTTACTATTGAATCGTATTCAATAATACCGCACAATAATTGTGTACTCGTAAACATTATTATAATAATAATGATATGCAATATTATAGTGTTCATATATTATGATGTTAATTTGCAGAAAACCATAATTGTATTTATGAAAACTTTAGTATTCGTCGAATGTCCTCACGAGATAATATTTATGTATAGTCGCCGTCGACTACTATATTACGATGGACTCATAATGTGTATTGTGATATAATAATTTGACAGTTTAAATAATTGTACTCGTTTTGATTCGTATGCATTAGACATGTCGACGTTTCAATAGGCTTTTTGATTGAATAGCCTAAAAAAAAAAAAAAAAACTATCTCGTCTAATTTATCCAATTATTAAAATTAGTATTATTATTTATGACGATCGTCTTTACACTATACACAATTTATTATCAATCGCTATTTTAAATAACGTTAATAATATAATATAATGTAAAACACGCCGACAATAATATATTAGTTATAGTTTCTTAGTACCATCTAACGTATGTTGTCGTATAGCGTATTTTAGTTATTGTGCGTACCTACACATTTTCTAATTTTTTATTTTATGTTTATACAAGTGAGCGTGTATGATGAAACTATGTGTTGAAAAACTTATTGGCAAAACAATTTCTGCACTATGTGTTTTCGTAAACGAAATTTATTTTGTCGACATTGTTTAATAAAAACCATAACCCTGCACACGTAAAAGGTCATCAATTTTTTTTCCTCGTATTCTGCAGCAAGTTGGTGTGCATCTAACTACCGCTGCCTGGCTGCCTAGTGCATATAACCAGGCTAACCATACCTATATATTACAATAAGGCAGCAGAACAGACTTAAAAGTCATTGTGTGCTAATGTCTTACAGGTATACGCATATTTACTACCTATGTACAATATATATATATGACATGGTACCGCGGAAATTAAAAACAAACTGCAAACGATGATATAAATTATTCAAATAGTAAATTTTCACCACGTAATAACTCGCATAAGTGGAAATATTGCAAGTGACGGAAAACTCAATAATTTCGATTGTTTTTTTTTTGATGAAATGAAACAATTTCGATTACAGAAAAAAAAATAAGTTTCTGGAATGCAGCTGGAACAGCACATTTTTAGACACGTTTGATATTTTACTCGTATATGTTGCAGGGATATATACGCAGTTGACCTATATATTCCGCGAAAATTTAAATTTATCACTGTCGCGACCGGTCATCATATATAATATGTTTCGCATTCATATGTGCATATACGTCGGTAGAAATAGTATGCACAGAGTAGGTACCATACATAATATTATAATTTACAGTGTGCAGTCTAGGGTTCAAAATTCAATTCCTCTGCCGGCTTGGTTGTTATATTCACACACATATATTATTATTATTTTTTTTTTTATCAAACTATAGGTATAGAACTTTACAAAACCTTTCCGCCCGACGGCGAGTGGGGAGCAAAGGTGTGAAAAATATACACCTATTTATCGAATTTTAATACATCAATCGATAATAAAAAATAAAATGAAATGATCGTTTAACGGTGTTGTATTACATAATATGTACTTTTAACGTTCTGCAGTAATCTGTACACATATATTATGTATTTATGTATATGTATATTACACGGTGGGTACACAAGTAATATTTTTACTTGGGCTATCATATTATTATGCTCATTAAGTGTAGTTTTTACTATGTTCAGGTATTATGTTGTGTACTATAATATTACTATAATATAATTAATTGTCAAAAAATTAAAAGGATCAAAGTTCAAAAAAATATTTTATTATGCGCTCCGATAAACTTCACATAATACACCAACAATAATACGTAATACTTATAATTAGAAATTTATTATTATTACTTATTTGTTTGTGTTACTTTATTATAATATGTATAGGTACATAATCACTACTGCATGGCTTATACATAATATATTATAATAATAATATTGGTTTATCGCTATTATTATCAATGTGTAAAAATATATATGCATATATATATATATGTACTCTATATATAGGGTTAACGATTGTTTTGATAACACACATATATAGGTAATAACGACGGTCTCAGACCGAATATTAATTTATTTCAATACTTATATTAACGCTGCCACATACGTTTATTATGTATAGGTATAGACAGTGAAAATCACAAGAAAAATATACCTATACAATATAGTTATTATTCAGTTTGGAGATTTTGTTAAATTTGTTTAATTTTCATCACGGTTTTTTATACATAATCTTTTAATATTTTTACCACATACCAATTTCAACGATTAGTACAAGTGTGTATACTGACTGTATAGCGTAGGTTACAATTAAAATAATAAAAATACTCTCAAAATGATGAGCTCTAGAAAACATATTAAATGACATTCAATTGTCATGGTTATAAATGTATCATTATTACTCGTCGACAATACACATATATATGTAAACAATATGGACGCCACTTATAAAACTCGCGGATATACGGTTCAGTCGCTTATTATTAATACATGGAATTTTCAAACTGTGGTACGCGTACCCTTCGGGGGCACTCGAAATTTTCGAGGGTTATTGGGGTAAGAGGGTTAAGGTTTAAAATGTGTAAGTCTTTACATTTTTTTATACATATTTTAGTTTAGTAACTTATTAGAAGGGGTACCTAAAAAAAATGTATTAGTAAAAAGTGTTCTTAAAAGTTAGAGAATCCCTGTCTTAATAGGTTCAACATCTTCTGAAACGGTCCGGACGTATCCAAATAAATTATAAAAAATTCGGTTATAAAATTCTCTACTTCATTTATATGAGACTCAATTTTCGTAAAAAAAAAAAATAGGGTAGAGAATAA